GGATGTGAGTACTGCCTGTAAGCCATGGCAGCTAGGGAGGAATATGTGTCGGCTTATGCGTCGGGTTAACTCTGGAAAGATCAAGAATTTGGAGGCGTCTGCTATTGTTGGCCATCTCCAATATCCTCTTCCCGATAACTGGGATCTCGATGGGGTTGGATGCCTTGACAATCCCAAACTGTTGAGGTTGGCTGGGAAAATACCGCACCCAGCACTGAGGAATTTGCGTTCTCCGAGTTATATGCCGAAAGGTAAGAAGAATCGGCCGGTGGGGCAGAAGGAGATCGAAGCCCTCAAGTCGCCCACAACCCCCGATTGTTCCCGTTTCCTACGTCTCTGGGTGCGTCTGACGGAAGGTCAGCGCCACAGTGCACGTAGCCTCTACAGTGGTCTCTGCGATGTTTCTATCGACTACATAGAGCCCATAGTTGGAGCGTATAGAAATGATTATGTCGTGCGCAAATTGTTGAGCTGTATTGACGATGAGTCGGCTCTTCAGTACGAAGAGCTATTTTTCCGTGGGCTACATGAAGGGCTCCTATTGCACATCATGCACCAGTGTATCCCTGTCTTCGAGGGCGATTCTCTCGCTATATTGAAGCGTGACCTACAGCCTGGCGGGGAAAAGTTTGTTGCACCATTGTGTAAGAAGTTCGTGAAGAATTATGAGAGACTGATTGAGCGCGGCGGAAGTCCCTCCAATGATTATGTGATCTCTGTCTTCCTTGGCGAACTACCCCCGCACGTGCGTTCCCGTATGCGCAAGTACCAGACCTCTAAAGGGAGTCGGCGATCATTGATGGACGTCATGAATGATGCGAAGACAGCGGAGAGAGATCTACGGAAGCGGGCCACTGAGTTCAAGGATACCGTAGCGGTAACTACTGATCGTCCGGAATATAAACATAAGCCGTTCTCCCAACGGCATCTACCACCCAAGCCGGGTCAGGCCGAGAACCGTGTCGCATGCGTAGAAGGGTCATCGAGTGCGGTAGAGTCTCCGTCCGATCATGAGACTGTTGGTCTTTGTCGTGCCTCATCGATAGATGACGATGGCGATGATTATGTGGAAGATGGCGAGGATCCGTTCGATATATTCTGCTCCCTCGGAACCGGTGCCCTGATCGCAACTACTTGTGGTCATGTGTCCGCCAATTCGGATGACACAGGTATGCCTGCCCGTGATTATGAAGGGATCCGGAGCGATATCGAATCCCCTAGCGGGCAACCCTATAATCTGACGCGTTCGGTCAGTATCAAGTGCGGTGACGAGCTCCTGGTTAGTCCACCAGATGCTGGTAACCCGGTGACTTTGATAAGACCCGATGTGGCTACCAAGTTAATTAAGGAGGGATGTGCTCGTGGTCCTTATTCCTTGAGGGGTACTGGCTTCAAACTCACTGGAGTTACTGGAGGTGAGGCGATTACCGCGAAGACTTTCGTCGTCATGAAGGTTCACCTGAAGCCACTGGGGTCCCAGGAGTATTCCCTGTGTTCTTTCGTACAGGCATTGATCGCCCCGGGACTAACTCTGAAGT